GGTGGCACCCTCAAGGGGAGAGAGGGACCATCTCATTGCTGACAGCAGCAGAGCATGGAGAGCTGCAGAAGGAAGAAGCTTCGTGAGTGTAGGGTGGGGAAGACAGAGGTGGTGAAACCAAGTCAACACAAAGCCTTCAGAAAGGGATGAATGAGGAATGCCAAGAAGAGCAAGGAGCAGGGGCACAGTCAGGGCTCGGCTGGAATAGGAAAACTGTTTTACTGAGAGTGTAGAGGTATCTGTGCAGTCTGTTGCAGCCCAAGAGATCCTCTGAATGCTGCTGATCTGCAAGCAAAACTAAAAGAAGCAACCTGCCTAAAAGAAGGAACCTGCCACTAAAGCAGGTTCCTTTAAAAGAAGCAACCTGCCTAAAAGAAGCAACCTGCCTAAAAGAAGGAACCTGGCTAGAGAGGGTTTCAAACTCTTGTTTTTATTCTGCTTCATTCAAGAGGGCTGGTAAATTTTCAAGGTTCCTTCACTCTAGTTCATGTTTAAGAAAAACAAAATCTTAGGCTGTAAAAGTTCCTTTGTGTAGTTTTGCTCCATTCAGTGATGGATGTAGATAACCAATTAAATATTCAGGACAGTGCTTTAAAAAAGCTGGCCAAATTTTCTTGAAATTTTCAGATTTTGCTAAATTTTCTTGAAATCTGCAGTTTTGGCTGGAATACATGTTAGTATTCTACATAACTTCCATCCAGGCCATGTAAAAAACAGCCTTTTGGAGGAAAAGCAGGTAATGAGCTTGGCTTATGAATGTGTTTATGAATTTTTCAGTTTGATTTTGACATATTACTGGCATTGGTGACATTTTTGTTTCTTTTCACTTGTGTAGAAATAGAAAAATCTTAGAAATGTGCTAAGTACTTCATGCAGGCAGTGTTGCATTGGACACAGTTACATGATAAAGAGAAACACAAAATACATGCATCTGTATCTCACATGGGATAAGGATCTTCAAAGGGCTATCGTAGATCAAAGCCCAGCTGTAAGGGGTGATCAAATAACCTGCTGAATAAGACCAGAGGCTGAAGCCTTTTGGTACAGCAGCCCTGGTTTGGTTTGCCATAGACAGTGTCTTCTTGTGGGAGGTGCCAGTTTTGTGTCATCCCTATTTGCACATGCACATGAAACTCCAGCACACACACATCAGTCTCCTCTCATGCATATGGTAGAGCTGTAGCTGCCCTTAACTCCTCCATCATCCCACTCTCAATTCCTTTCAAAAAAATTCTGAAAACCATTGCACAAAATACATACTCCAGAAACTAGACTCAGCCAAAATCTTAGGAAAAAGATTTAAAAGGGGCTGCTGGGGCATGGGGAAACTGACCCAAAGCCCACTGTTTGTATCTCCCTGTTGTGACAGATGAGGATCTATAAATAAAATGATAGATAAGCTTCCTGTCATGGACCAGAAGTATTAATAATTGCTATGAGCAATAAATTCCATAATGAGCTCTCTTCTTCCCTGAAACATTCCCAAGATTTTCAACCACACATACACAAGGACACAATATATGAGCTGTACAGCTCTTTCTCCATCATTTACAGAGGCCTTGTTTCTTCATGATTCCTCAGTGGTGTAATAAGAAAGCAGTGGAATAGTAAAACTTTGGAGTTGACAATTACTGTACTTTTTTTGGCTGTTTAAATGTAAGTAGAGACAGTTTCATCCTGTTTGTTAGCTAATGGCAAGAAAGGCTTATTTAGATTCTTATTAATCAGGTGCTAATAGTGTAAAGTGCTGAAGCAGTTGCTACCTTTGAGCAGGTCTGACCCAGTGCAATCCCAGGCAGAACAAAATTCATCCCTCTTTGTGCAAGAGTTTCAGGAGGGCGCTAGAATGTGTAGCAGCCTGCATTGAAAAATGGAAGGAAGGACAGGAAATTGCACAGTGCAACAGCAGGAGCTTTTCCTCACATAAATAAGAAAGAGTGAGTCCACAGGAAGAAACACGATGTCTTTTGTCATGAAGTTGTGAAGTAGAAATGACAGCTTAGGACAAATGGTAAGTTAATAGACCATAGCTGCTCTTAAAAAACAGAGAGAAGAGAAGAAAAAAAAAGAAAAGTGTATTTGATAAGGAAGATGAGTCAAGGAAAATCTTGTGGAATTCTCATAAGAAGCAGCCTTTCTGGACCTGTTGGAGGAAAGAACAGTTTGAGCAAGAGAGTTTTTGTTGGATAGGAAGTAAACCGAATATAAAGTACTGTGAAAAATGCCAATCACTTGTTTTTGAAATGTTAAAAGTTTAATAGTAATCCACGTACAATATTCATTTTAATACTTGTGAAAAGCCAATCATAAAATACACATTTTTCACAGTACCAAGCTTTAGCTTTTTGGATTTGAGCTGTTCCTAAATTGTTTCCAAAGGTTTCATAGCCATGATCATTTTTTCTAGTATTCCCAAACTTTCATTAAAATGATTGAAAGCTTCAGTGCTATTGCTGGCTTCCTGACAACTAGTTGTTACTGCAATCACCAGGTGCTTGAAGGAAGGCTTGATTAAAGTATCACGTAGTTAACTGGCATGTGACTTTTGTTTCTCCAGCAGACTTCCTTATCTCAAGCCTTTAATGAGGACCATGTAGAGGAGGGTTTTTTTCTCCTCGGGGCTTTTTTTTTTAGGTGAAACTCTTGAACTTTCCTCTTCAGCAAAATTCATTTGATGTTGAGTGTGTCTTATTCAAATGTCCTTGACATTCATATCAAAAGATCTTGTATAACCTGTCATGTGCACACAATAACAATGAGGAACTGAAACTTCTCCTCATATCATATTTTGGGTTATACCCACTCCAAACATTAAAGCAGTTTAATTGTCTTCCGGGTAGGTAACAGACCATAATAATCGTTAATTGTTATGACAGGAAAATATCTAGGACTTGCTGAGCTAAAGTCCAATTGTCTTAGTAATGAGACATAAACAATGGGTGAAGCTGGAAAGTGGACAAAGGGTGTTGTTTGTCAGATATTGCTCTTGTGAGGTCTTTTGGAACTGGCTTAAAACATTTACTGCCATCCCAGAGGAGACTGTGCATCATGGACTGGTTTTCATTTGTACCTGTGCAAGGTTTTTCAGGTCAGCTAAGAGCTACTGATTAAGTCAGTCTGAACCCATTTGACACTGAAACTTAAGAAATGCTTGGACAATCCAAGTTTGATTACTCATTTGTGGGAACAGTAACCTCCAGCTGTGACACTGAAACAAACACCCGGGAGTGGTGCAGTGAAATTGCACTGGCCACTTCCAAAGTGATTACACGCTAATGTACCTAGTTTGTCTTCAGAAAGGGACCGATGAACGCTTTGTTGGCAAGGAAAGAGTTCTTTTCTTTGCTCAGTAGCTGTAGTGTAAGCTAGTCGTCCACCTGTCCCCTCACAGGCACTTGTGAGAGAACATCCAAAGGGTTTTAAGAAGGGAAAACTGGGTTAATTTCACTGTGCATGAGATAGATCTTGGAGAAGTACCTCCAGGGTGTTGGGAAGAGAGGCCACATACGTGGGTGGCATAGGAAATGGGTGGCATAGGAAATGGGTAAAACACAACAGTGCAAGGTGATAGTGCAGAGAAGTACAGCAGGGCTTCATTGTGGCTTGAAAGAAAGAGTATGGTGGAGGGGAGAGCCAGTGAAGGCAGTCCTCTGGGGTATGAGGGAAATACCAGAGTAAAGATGTAGGGGAGGAATGTTATCTCAGGACCTGAGTATCTGCTCTAGTAAAAAGACCTCTGAGAGTCCTAAGAGATATTTGGCATTGTAGATGAGGAAGAGTATTGAAATGCTAATTTCAAAGAACAAAGAAAGATGTAGGGTCTGGACTGTTCCTTAGAGGGGATCAGATGTTGGCACTAGTCACAGTGTCAGAGGAGAAGACTGAGAAGTTGTTCAGCAGCTGGACTTCACAAATGTCATGTTCTGAAGCAAGTAGCTCCGTGTTAAGGGAAGCAATCTGCAAGGCAGCACATTTGTGTCTGCTCACAGACAGCCCATCCTGTGCTTGAGACCTGCAAAGGTCTTAACATGAGCTGACTGTGTTAATACAAGTACCAGTAACGTGTTTCTGCAATATGAAGGGTCCTGTATGCCAGCCAATCTGGCTTGATTGGCCCAATTTCAAGCAGGTATTCATAGTCATGGTCATGTTTTTTCAGCAGCTATGTGTGTAGTACAGGTTGGAGTGCTTCTCTTTTATAGACTCATAGGATGATTTGTGTTGGGAGGGATCTTCAGGATCAAGTGGTTCCAAACCCTCCTGCCATAACCAGGAACACCTTCCACTAGACCAGGTTACTCAGAGCCCCATCTAACCTGTCCTTGAGCAGCTCCAAGGATGGGGCATCCACAACTTCTCTGTGCAACCTGTCTCAGTGTCTCGCCACTCTCAAAGTGAAGAATTTCTTTGTAGTGTATTTCTAAACTTGCTCTCTTTCAGTTTGAACCCATTTGCCCTTGCCCTATCATTACCTGTCCTAGTAATGTCACTCTCCAGCTCTGTTGTAGCGTCCTTTAGGTACCAGAAAGCTGTTCTAAGGTTCTTTTGGAGACTTTCCAGGTTGAACAACCTCAGCTCTCTCAGCCTGTCATCGCAGGAGAGGTGCTTCATTCAGTCCAGGGCCCTCCTCTGGACTCACTCCAACAGGTCCACAATCTTCTTACGTTGGGGACCCCAGAGCTGGATGCAGAATGCCAGGTGGGGTCTCACCAGTGTGGAGCAAGGGGGGAGGATCCCCTCCCTTGCCCCACTGGCCATGCTGCTTTTGATGCAGCCCAGGATACAATTGGCATGTTGCTGGGTCAGGTCAACCTTCTCATCCACCAACACCCCCAGGTCCTTCTCCTGTGGGCTGCTTTCAATCTATGTTTTCTTTTACAGTGTACTACAAATATTTTAATATACATATTTTAATAGCATAATAATATAAGGTTCTCTTGCATCCATGATACAGATGAACAGTGTGGTTCACAAAGGTCTGGTTTGGTTGTGTTCAATAGGCATTGGCCCGTCACCTCCGACCTGGAACTCTGCGTGCTGTCTTTGGGAAGGACAAGATTCAGAATGCTGTTCACTGCACAGACCTGCCTGAAGATGGGCTTTTAGAGGTAAGGCTTGCTAGACAAACATGTTCTTATGGGAAGTTGTAAAGTGAAATGCTTCTTTTGACACTCTTTTAAGCCAGTAAGTGTTTTCTCTGTGGGGCAGCTGTGTTGTAGACCAGACTAGACACAAAAACAGAGAGTTGATTAAGCGTGTTTGATTCAGTTAATTCTGATACTGTAAAAAAATTCATCCATGCAGTTTTCTTGAATGAATATAGTACAATGAAGTATTCAATGGAATGAAACTCAAGAGTCTTCTCTTTGTCTGAATGTGTCCTTGGGTCTGAACATCAGTACCTGACAGTGCTTCTGCAGCGACACTTCCTTAGCCCTTTCTTGGATGACCACCCTGACTCCTGAGCTAGATTCTGTCTACAGTGAACTTGTGTGGAGCTTGGAATATTACAGACATTAGGGATTCAAATCCTCCAGATAGGGCCCAGGTTTATTTGTAGACAGTCATACTTACACATATCAGTTAATATTTCCTGTGTTCTAAATTAACTTACTAATTATTATCTGATTTTGGCTTTGTATGCCAAAATTAAAAAGTCCAATAAAATGAGAAAATGTTAAATTACAGGAATTTGTAAAGAAAACCAGAACAAGTTCATTCACTTAATTCTGTGCCTCAAGACTAAGGTCCACAGCAGGGGGTTGAAGTGATGTGTAATCTTGGATGGATCTCTGTGCCAATGGAGATGCCTTTCCAGTGCATGCACAGCTTATTTTTTGCTGCCTGTATGTATTTGTGAGTGCTTTGCTGTCAGGTATAGCAGAATCATTGAGCAGCAAGTGCTGTCATACTTAGATAATTTTACATTGTCAAAATGGTGGTTTCATGGAGGAGTGAGGAAGAGCTAACATCATCTTCCTCCATGAAATAACCTGTGGGTTAAAGTGCTTTTGCTAGGAAATCCCATTTAGTTTAAGGCACAGGCTAGTGAAATTCAACACTGAGCATGGCAACCACTATAAACAAAGTTGCATCTTTTTTGACCGTTTTCAAGATGTCATTAAAAGTTGACAATTTTTTGTTTTTCCCTTAGGATTTATACAAGCAAACAGGTATTTTTTCACCGCATACCTGAAGTTTCTCAGGCATGGCAGCAGAACAAAAGGCACAGCCTGTAAGGGAAAAATTAAACAGGCCAACACTCATAGAGCATTTTAGTAATCCATCAGAATTTTCCACTGTCTGTTGCCTTTCCACTGGTGCAAAGCAGGTTTTGCTGGTTGTTTAAATTGAGTTTAGGGCTGCTATAAGTGAGGCAAGAATTGCTTCTCCAAAACAAAAACTGAGGCTGGCATTTTTTTCTCAAGGGTCTCCATTACATGTGTTTGTCTTTCAAATCCTGCAGCTCAGTCATAACCAAAGTTGTTGATCTGGTATTACTCTGACTACACACTTTGCAATTCCTGGTGCAGTCTGATCATTTTAACAGTAGCTTATTAATTGTATTTTTTTGGAAAAGGGATCTAAGATTTTTTTTTACCATAGGCATAATTGTGTGCAGAATATTGCTGTTCATCAATCTGTAGTTTCTTCTGCAGGTTAAGCCTGCATTTGTAAAGGACATCACTCAGTGTTGTTTAGTGAGTAAATAGAGCAGTGAATGTTTTGAATTGAGCACAGTGGGTTTGTACAAAGGAAGCCTTGGCTGTACCTGTTGGTTGGTGTGTGGAGTATTCACACTGTTAATGCTGAAGCAGCTTATCAGGTGTTCCTGCCACAGTCCTGACTTCTGCTGTGGCTGTGTGTCCTGTGTGCACACAGGGTGTGTGCAGGGCCTGCAGTGCCCAAGGGATCCTGGAGGAAATGTGGAGGAACTGCTGCTGTTGACACTGTGTATGGAAAGCTGAATGGGTTGTTTGTGTCTTAATTGGTTTTGTGCCTTTTGAACTTCCAGAACCAAATTGAGATGGAACGGGTTGACCAAGTATTCTGTGATGGGCCTTAAAATGCATAATGTTTATGGAAGCACAACAGAAGCATGTTCCCTTGTAGAAGGGAATACACTGATGCCTTCCTGAGAACTTTGGTACCTTTAGTGCAAGACACTGTTTATCTTAATATTTCTTCACCCTCTTGCAGCTGTCATCACCCAGTTTCAGATCTAGCTGAAATTTGAAGAATTTGCAATGGCAACTGCTATCTCATTGTCCACAAATGGAGACTTCTTAGACGAATTGAACTAGGTAATTGAGAAATTAGATAAAATGCTTCCTGAAGTCAATAGCCAAACTCTTGGTGGCTTTGGTGTTTTGCACTTCATTGACTGTCACTAGGAAGGGCAAGGTTGTGACCTTTCTCCCAAAAATCATGATTGAGGAGCATTTGGTGAAAGGAGACACAACAACAAGGACCAGTCGTTTAAAACACTATACTTAAATAATGTAGTACAGCAATTTTTCAGTGGTTTTCTCTTAGACCTCCTTTCCATGGATCTGAAAAAAAGAAAGTTCACTTTTAATCTTAAAACCCCCTCAAACAAACAAACCAACCCCAAAAGCAAATACAAGCACTTGCTCCCACCAGTATGACCTTTAACTCCTGTTTTTGTTCTACAAACTACTTCACATTTTAGGCAGTGACTAAAGAATATCAGAATTAATGAATAACTCACTTTGGCTCAAGAAAGAAGGGAAGATGCAGTTGAACCTTAAATGCGGCTGGTCACAGTAGTAAAATCAGTGTATTTCCATTTGCTGAACTTTAAGTGCTCTTTTTCATTCTAGTTTAGTGATACAGGAATGTGAATATTGCCCTCATCTCTTAGATGAGTTGTTTGACTTACTAGGTCAGGCACTTAATTATTCACTTCATAGACTTGTGTGTCCTCTTATCAGTACAAAATGTATTTTTACAAATGACAATGGATAGACACAAATAGCTCAGAACAGTCTGTTTTCTCAGCCTTGTCACCAGTTTCCCATTTTAATGAGAAGAGGAAAGAAAGGAGGAAGAGTAGAGAAGGGAGACCGATAGCAATGGAGTATTTGTGAGATGGTGCAGTTCCATGACTGAAGGTTCAACCAGCAGCTGATGTTGTGTAGGACATTCATTCAGAACAGGCAGTTGCGTTTGTTTCCCACATCCAAAGCAGGTACAGCTCTACCTCTCAAGTAGTCAAGTTTTTTTTCTGTTTTGTATAAAGCAGGTACTATTTGGAGAAAGCAATTACAGTACTCACCTGCTTTCATGTTCCTTCTGAGTCAGGTAGAGCCAGGACTGGAACATGCATATTTTATATGCCAAGGAACTGTTCTTTTTCACAGACTAGAGATGTGTCATCTATGTGTGGTGAAAGATGATTCTGTTTCTCAACTCACCGTCTTTGACCTGAGAAACTTTTCTGATAAATATCTTGATGAAATAGAAGCTTGAAAACCGTTGGATCTGATGAATCATCATTCTCTAGACAAAAGAAGTTTCCTTAAAATTGATCACTCCTGGAATAGTTCTTAATCAAAGTAGTGATGCAATTATTGTGGCTATCAGACTTCATAGTTTGTGTCCCTCTTTAAAGAAGTGAATGCAAATTAAAAATCAGTCATAAAGGCCTTAATCACATCACTGAAACTACAGTGAGTAAAACTTCCCACAGGAGGTGGTGCTGTACACACACCTCAGTTCTCTGGGTCTCAAGTGGCTCAGTACCTTTCAGATTATGCAGGAAACCACATAATTAAAAAACTGGTGGCCCAGAGCTGCAGTTATAACAAAACCAGAGTTTCTGGGGTTTGGCATGCTCTTCCTGTAACTTGTTGCTCATACTGTGCAGTTCAAGGTTTTTGGTTTAGGTTTTTTGTGTGTGTGACCAGTTCCATAAGGGCATTTGCAGTGTAGAAAATCACTCTGGGGATCATAGAATGCACACATCTGGGGTCACCTGAGAGGTCTCTCCATTGCAGTGCAGCCTGCTGAGCCACCCAGGCTGGCTTTGTGTTCCTGTGCCATGGTGTTGGGGCAATCAGTCAGTCTCATGGAGTTTCTTTGCATAATTACCAAGTGCTTAATAGTCATATGTGTGTTTGTGTGTGTACTTTGACACAGAAGGAGAGGATGGTGCCCTCAGCGAGACATGCATGAGAAAGTATTTGCTGTGGGATGGATAAAACTTGAGTTCTGGGTGAAACAGCCTTCTCCCTGTTGCCGAGGGTGACGCTGTTATTAGGTGACTAATCCTTGGACGATATCGTGACAGCTGCTGCGGGTGTGTGCTTACCCGTGCCTTTGTGTGCCTGCTATGCTACGAGTGGAACTGCAGAGGGGGGTGATCTCTCAAGCCACTTTCGTGGGGGTGAGGGATGTGCCAACTGCCTTCCCAATCTTGTGTCCCCACGGGCGCTCTCAGCTGGCGCTGCGTGTGCCGCCGCATGGCCGCCGGCTGCGTCAGGCTCCTCCTTGGGCATCGGCACCGTGTCAGTTTTCAGCGTCACGGGCAGCTCTCCAGACAGGCAGGAGCGAGGAGCTCCTCGAGTATCGTTTGCTGGCCTTTTCCCTTGCCTTAGAGCTATTTGTGGCACTTACAGACATGAAAATAGCCTGTCAAAGGGGGATGACTTTGCTGTTATCAAAGAGTGGGTTTCATCTGTCTTCTGAGGGAGCTGTCATGACAGTTGGTTTTTTTGCTATCACTTCTTTGAATTTCAGCTGTACAGTGGTGTTCAGGTGTAGGGCTGGGGACTGGCTGACTGTACAATAAACTGCTGGCTCTTTGTTCCTTTGCTCAGCCTTGTACCAGAGAGACTGGCTTACTTCTCCTTAGGGCATTAAAGCAAACAAGTAATATCACCTAGGGACAGATCAGCTCTGGTCATCTGCTGGACCGAGACTCCCATAGCTCTGGCATTGGAAGTTCAGCCACCTGGATCCGGCCTTGGGGAGATGGAAGGTGATGTTGTACTGTGAGCGGTGACAGGATGGTCCAGTTCAGCAGAAGTGTTGTGTCCAGGCTGGTGCTGTGGACAGTGAAAACCATGATAGTTTTCCTCCGACT